TCACTATAGAACGAGAGTTGACACAATAACGTTTAAATTATACATAGACCAATCAAAGAAAAAATATTTTGCTATTTTATATTTATAATTGTTAAATGCCTGAAACAATTTGGGCATTAGGAATTTTAAATATTTTTAAGCATCATTTTTTCTAAATTTCTAAACTTTAATATTAAGAGAATGGGACCTAAAAACGAGCTTAAATCATAACTGTACACGGATGATTACCTTACATTTCCAACAAAAAATAATATATGGAAATTTTTATTAAAACAATACTCGCCAGACTGTAAATTAATTAAATACTCCGTATTTAGACAATGTCCTATTCAGCTGAAATTTTCGTATCTATTGTATCATACTCTTGGTAAAATATTAAAATTAATCTCTAAAAATGCCTTGAACTCCCACGGAATTTAATATGTAATACAGGGATATTAATTTTACGAAGATAATGTAAAATAAAATAGGTACCTAATATTGTCGAGTATATTAATGAAATTATAATTGATCCTTGGTTCTTAGAATTGCAAGAACGCTGACCTAAAATTTAATACACCCCGATAAACAGTTTTTTTCATTTTACATTCAATTAGTATTATCCTACCGTCCAATGTTGGTAATAATTAGGGATGGGATATTTAAGTACTAAAAACTGAAAAATATTTAACTAAAAAGGTACTAAAAAAAGCATTTTAGGTTAAAAAAAACAGCATTTTAGGTGAAAAAAACATTAAAAGTTCAAGTTTCGTTTATTTTTATAAAATAAGTAGGTAACGTAAAATATTTTTTTTATAAACTGACCAATAGTTAATTAAAGCTATAAGGAACTGGATAAAATATTGGCGCAAAATTTAAAAAGAACACAAAAAAATAAAATAAGTAAAAATAGGTAACAAACAGGTGAAAATAAACTAACAAATTAAAAAATAGGTAACAAAAGTATAAAAAGGTAGATTAAAGCAAAAACCTCCAAAAAAGGTAAAAAAGGTAAAAACAATTTAAAAAAATAGGTAACAAAAGTATAAAAAAGGTAGTTTAAGGCAAAAACCTCCAAAGAAGGTAAAAAAGGTGAAAACAAGTTAGGTTCATATAAAAGAAAATCTTTTAAAACACATTTTGGCATTATTGGTTTTCAAATAGTTACATCGGTTGAAAAAAGGTAAAATAACTAAAATCCCATCCCTAGTAATAATACTGTTAAACAGGAAATTAGTCTTAATTAAAAATACAACCAAGGACGAAGAATATATGCAGCATATTCTAAGCCTAGTCTCAAACGGAAATCGCGGTTGCACCGGAAACAGTTTTAGCCATTAAAAGCCTCCATTATGTTGTGGTTTTTGATTTTAGTGCTTCATATTATTATTTTTTTTAATAAGCCACCTCTAAATTTTATTTGATTCTAAAAAAAATGTCTACTTATTTAGATGTTATAGATTTAATTTTTTTTATATTTTGGACCACCCTAGTATACATACACATATAAATCACAGTGTCTCCTTAATAAAGGTAAAAGAGCTCTGTGTAACTGTCAAAGTTTGGTGGCTGACCGAGTTTATACGTTTCTTAGCTCAGATGATTTACGTTTCCAACAGTTATCTTTATTTATGCCTTCGTATGGCTGTGTATATACGGCGTAGGTCGGCCTAAGCAGTGAATAAATTTTAAACGGCCTTATGATTTATTCGCAAACTTAAGTCCCGGTCCGCAAGCTCTAAAGGGGACTGCTAATTGATATATTGCGAAAGTTTCGAAATTCTACCGCAACACTGCCCATTTATCAAAAAATTGATGCCTAAGAGACAGGCATTAATATAGTGAGCGAGTGAATTAATTAACAAGAAGATATTTTGTTTCGTAATTTTTTAATAAATTTATGTTATAATTTATAATTTTATAGCATGTTAAAAGGTGATGTTTAATTAAAAAGCTTTAAAATTTTATAATAAAAATAAATTATCTGGTAATAAAAATAATGTTATTTAACTCAAGTTAAGCCTTAGATACAAAAAAAATATGTAAAATATAAAAAAAATACAAAATATAAATAAATATTTAAACTGTATCTATAAACCTCATTCTAAAAAGTTTTTTAAAAAATGATTAATTTTTCTTAAATTTTTAATTATTTTTTTTGTTGGTAATGATTTTAATAAACCATCTATTTTATAAAAAAATATTGGCCCATTATAATTATTAGCATTTCTACTCACTTGCAATCGTGTATTACGTCATTTTGATGTCTTGTGTTACAGTAATATACGTAATTTAAGGTTGCAAAATTTATAAAAATAGGTTAACCTTGTTCTGAAGATGCCAACATTGTTGCTAACAATTTGTTGGCGAAAAGTACTTTAAGCTCTTTGTGTTTTGTTTTGGTGTTGGGGAATATTTCTAATATTTGTTATGATAGAAATGTTAAAAAAATACTTTCTCATAAAAAAGCAAAACTTGCACAGGAATCTAACTTAGGTGAAATAGGCCTAATTCAATACCATAGTATTGAATTTGTCCAAAACTTTTTACAAGTTAATCTTTTAAATTTACAATAAAAATACTTTTAGTACTGTATTTTTTCTAAACTTTTTACAAATTGATTTAATAAATTTACAAAAAAAATACTAAATTATGAAATTTTATGATTTGGTAGAGTAATTGTTATTTTTAAAACTAAGATTGGAAATTTTACTATAGTTTTCAATTGTAAACATCTACCAAATTTACCATTATTTTTATCATTGATTAAAATAAGAAAAAGTGTCGGCCCCAACACGGAGCCCTGGGGCACACCGAGGTGATTATTTTTTTTATAATCTTACTCACGCCTATTAACAGAGATAAATTATTTTCGATTTAACAGATATAATAATAATAAAATTATTGAGTAAAAAGTCAATTGCCTGGTAAAATTGGTGCCCTGTTAAAAAAAACTCTTTTAAATTAAGCAGTAACGTGTTTTTTGTACAAAACTTAATAATATGCCTCTTACGTTCAAATGACCATTTTTTATCACAATATTTCCCAATTTATCGGCTCACACTTACAAATAAAATATCAAAAGTCCCCACCGATCATACTTCCGCTAAAATTTTATTCAAGGTTTAAGGTCAAAAATATTTGTTTTTCCATGTTTCTCTTATTTTATATGGGTCATTCCATATTAAATCACCAAATTTTAAAATATTTTAGATTCAGTTAAATTTTTAATATGTTTTTGAGCCCTTAATTTTCAAAAGCCCCGAAGATATAAAGTTTTGAAAATCGCAAAAAATAAGGATACGGTAATTTTCAGAAATTCATAACTCCTGCTTAAATAATCGTAACCTCATTTGACCGGTGGCTATTTTCTTTGTTTTGAAATGTAGTTTTTGAAAAAAAAATATAAATACCAAAATTTTACTTTTAACTTAAATTTTGACTTTTTTAAAGAGCGACATTTTTGATTTTTTTGAAAAAAATATATGTTATACTGTAAAACAAATTTTTTAGGCCCATAATGAAAGTGGGATTCAAATATCTTCGATTTTTTAAGCCACTTTTTAGTATTTTTTTAACCATAAATTCAAGTTTTTTGAAAATTTTCTAATTTTTTATGAGTTCCATTAAAGTTTTCTATCAAAATATCATAAATTCACGTTTAATATTGGAAAAAAATAATTTTGCAATGCTTGATAAATAATTATGCCCTTATTCTTTTAATTTTTATAATAATCATAATATTTTAATTTTTATCTGGGGCTTTGTTATACATTTTTGTATTATTTTTAGTTTTTGTATTTCTTCTGTGAAATATATCCGTACTTACAATGTTTCTCATTATTGATTGCTAATAAATAAGTCATACCTATATTAATTTTTATTTTCCTTTTAATAATTAATATTAAAATTAATAAAAAATAGATTTAAATAGTAATAGTAATAGTAAATATTTTTTAAACCAATCCAACAGGGTATTTAGAATTTAAAAAAGAATACCTCGTAAAGTATTTGACATATCCTAATGAGATTTCCCCACACGTAAATAAAGGTTGTCTCAATATAACAGAACAAAAAATATATTTTTTATTTGTTTTAAATTAAAAATTCCTTTGGGACAGAGTTATGCAATATTTTTTAACTATAACCCGATAAATGCTTGGCTGCTTGTTTTATATTAAGTTAAATATCGATTTATAATTAATAAATGTTCCGTGCTAATATACATGGATATCTTAACAGCTTATTAACTCTGCACAATCCTGGGGATAGTTTATTATCGACAAGCTTTGGTTACTTTGTGCTATAATTTATAAACTATGTTCTTTCTACAAAAATGCATTAATTTTACTTAAATCACTTATTTATAATAAAAGAGGTTCATTTAAAAATTAAATTAATCTTAATTTACTCCGAAGGAAGTTATTTTTGCGAATATAAACTCTCGTATCAAGTTTCTTTCAATTTAATCTTGCCTTTGTAATTATTTCCAGAACAATGGTAACCGATTTACAAAATTTCATTTACAAAGAATCGTTTTTGCTTATAAATTTCAATCAATCTTATTCGTAATTTCCAAGTTCAAGTTTAAATTTAATACATTTATCCAAGACAGAGATTTTGATTAAATTTTTGTTTGGTTTCCAAGATAAATGATTCAGTCTAAGCGCTTAATCATAAGGCTAAATTAGTTAAAATTTCTGGACGTTATTAGGAATGGTGTGACCATTAATTTAAATTATTTTTACAAAATTAACTAAATCGTGACTTTTTTTTGTATTTAAGGATGTTGAGCAGTTAAACGTAACTTTTCTTTTTTGACGAGTTGTTTTCGCCTATTAAAATTGTACCATTAAAATTAAGACACCCTTTATACTTAATACTATAATATATTAAGTACCTATGTTATGTTAATTTCAAGTATCAAAATAACCTAGTACCTATGAACCCAACTTTGGAGTGTCCCAAGATTAGAATTTGTTTAACAGGAAACATAACTTATTGATTATTTTTTCTTTAAGGTCTTTTAATATGGACACAATGTATACTGCAAAACTTCATGGTTTTCCGAATTTAACAAGATCAAACATGGATCAAGCATTTACTGAAGAAAGTATCCTGTCCCTCCTTATAGTCCTAGGCAGCAGCATATCTTTAGTAGCGCTAGTTTTCGCTTTCATCACATACAGGTAAGTCGTTACTTCATATTACAGAGTTTGAGTTAAAACCAATTAGGAAAATAAGGGATGATATACGATTATTGGGATTTATATTTTAATTCAGAAATTCCGTTAGTTAAATTGCATTGCATACATATTTTATCTAACAAACAATTTGAGAAATGTGTGTAACGTGAAAATTAATTTAATGGGCAATTGTAAAATTATGCATATGCCATCAATTTTTAACATTTTCGAAAATTTGCATTTATTCCACTTTAATTAAGTATTTAATTTATAATACAAATTTATATAATCCAATTAATATTGTTAATTTTGTTTTTGTCGGGCTGACGTCCATCACACACAGGTTTTTTAAAAATGTTAACACAAAAGAGCATTTTAAATAAAAACATTTATCACAAGGTATTTTTTCATTACATAACTCGGTTTGGACAGTGGGTAAATTATGATTTGTTGAAAAAATTTTGTTTTTTAACAATAGGAAGTTAAAAGTTTTGTAGATACAAGACATTTTTTTTTACTTACACCTTAATGTGTTGTCTTCAATACCTCAAACTGTATAGGAATGGTTTTGCGATTTTTACATTTTTTAAAATACCCAAATATAAAAGTATATTATGTTTGAGTTTGATATTCGCCATTTTGAACACGAATTTAATTTAGATACGAGCGAGCTTGCGAGCGAGTGCTTAATTAAATGAGTATCTAGAAAAGTTTAAAAATGGGTTGCATACTATTCTTTTCCTACAAACAATACCTATTATTATCTAAAAATATTTTAAATTAAACATTTGTTTAGAGCGACATCTATAAAATAATGGAGTAGCCAACTTGGAAATCTGTCAAATTGTTATGTATAAATCGAAATGTACCCCTTAAAAATAGGCCGTTTAATCCGATATACACTGTTCAAAATTTCATGATCATTTTAACACCAAATTAACACCATACATGGTCTATTTCGATACAAACCAAAATGGTGTTAAATATGGTTCGTTGATCCAGTGTAAATTCAAATACTAATAAAGTGTAAATTTAACTTTCACACAGTATTAAAAAATTTTACCTGGTGTAAATTAAACTCCTTTTCAGTATTAAATATTATGTGTTTTTGGTCAAATTAAACCATACTACACAGAAAAAAAGGAAAAAAAGGAAACAGAAAGTTCCTTGACGCATTACTAGTATATTACCCAGCGTTGCCAATAGTTCTTAATAAAATTTCTGGCAAAAAATATCATCATTACTGGCAATTCCTGGCAACGTGAATGCTTAATTTTTACAATCTTTAGGTTTCTAGCAAAATGGCTTATTTCAACAAACAAAAAAATATTTTTTAATTTTTTTATTCACACCAAATGATTTATCCAATACCTATATATTTTGGGTGACATTCACAATATCGAAATTCATTATATCGAATTCAAAATATCGAACACTTTTTATCGAAAATCAAAATATCGAAAATACAAAATGTCGAAGATCAAAATATCGATAATTCAAAATGTCGAAAATGATAATATCGAAAATTAAAATGTCGATTTGAAAATGTCGAATAATTAAAGGTAGTGTCTCCCCGACCGTCGGACGGACGTAGAAAAGTGTGTGCTCGACCGTCGGACGGACGTAGAAATGTGTGTGCTCAACCGTCGCATATTTTAACCTCATTTTCAACTAGAGGCTAAATGTAGCAAAGTATTCCTCAAGGTTATGACGAATAGCTGTCATTTTGGTTATGCAGGTACAATGCATTGTGCCATACCAAACTAACCCAATCTTAACAACCCAACCCAACCCAACCGACCCCGCCCCATTGGGCCCCTCCCGCCCCATTGTCACAATCCAGCCTGCCCTTATATACCTCTATTGCTCAATGGGGCGGGAGGGGCCCAATGGGGCGGGGTCGGTTGGGTTGGGTTGTTAAGTTTGGGTTGGTTTGGTATGGCACAATGGAGTGTACCTGCATAACCAAGATAACAGCTATTCGTCATAACCTGTATGACAGCGGTCGAGATTTTATTTTCGATAAATTGAAAATTCGATTAAATAAAATTTCGACATTTTCAAATCGACATTTTAATTTTCGATATTATGATTTTCGACATTTTGTATTTTCGATATTTTGATTTTCGATAAAAAGTGTTCGATATTTTGAATTCGATATAATGAATTTCGATATTTTGAATGTCACCCATATATTTTAATTGTAATTTTCTAAAATTTTCGATAATTTCACTTTTTTTATTTGACAACACGACTCTGTTGTTCGACCAATCGGCAGTCCCGCCCACCCGGCAAACGTAGAGATGTGCCATTCTGTAAGGTAGGCCATGATCATTATTCAAGAAACACATTCCTTGCATGGCCATGATGTCCCGGCCATCTTAGATGACTTATCTAAGATGGGCATTTTCACGGATTATAAACGATATGTGAAAAAACAAAATTATTGTATTTTAACTAACATAGTAAATTAACCAATTCCTGGCAAATCCCTGGCATTTGAACTCTCCTGGCAAAATTACTGGCAAGGAGCTTTATTCCTGGCAAATGCCAGTAATTACTGCCAATACCAGTGGTATTCCAGAAAATTGAACCTTCAACTCGCTAGAGATAATGTTTTAAGTGCGTTCCACCAACTTACTTAAAGCATTGACAGCTGTTTCCACCTATTTAAGGACTACCTGAGCTTATATACTCTTCATGTAAGTCAACAGAGGCGAGATTAAAGAACATCACGTGATCCACACCGCCTTTGCCGCGATCGGTACACATTATGCAACCAGGAATGCACGGAAAATTGTTTTAATCGTTTTAACAGAGTGCTTTAGGTTGAAGTAACTCTTATTTTACAAAGAACATATTTAGTAAACTAAACCATACAGCTGGTTGGTTTCACTAAAGTTTTCTGGGTTAATTTAACCAATTTCAAAAAAATAAAATAACTATCTGGTTTAGTACCGTCAAACTAATCTTTGTTTATATTAACCTTCCTACAGTTGATTTAAATAAATACTTATGGGTCAACTAAATTAACCTCTTAACGCCCCTTGCAACAGAAATGTAACATACTAATAACATATTCGTAACATACTAATAACATATTCGTAACATACTAATAACATATTCGTCATAATTAAATAGTTAAATGAACTATTCCTTTTTTTCTGTATAGGTGCACTTCTCAAATATTTTTAAATAAACACCGTTTTGGTGTTTGCTGTATATAACATTTTTAACCATAATTCATGGTGTTTATATTAACACCACTTGGTGTTGGATTTAGACACCATTTTAAGATTACTTTTTACACCACAGATATTTTAAACAGTGTAGAAGCAGTGAAAGTAATGAAAATGTTTTATTGGCTCTCCACGGTGGAGTCTTCACCAGAAATTAAGTTAAATCTAGCTTACTGCCGGCAAAATTAAAATGTCGGTACAATGTTTATATGAATAGCGTTTATTGAGTGCCAAAAACCTTTTTCTGGGGCAAACATAATTATTTGCAAAATAACTTATTTTTAATGCTGCTCAAAAAATTAATAATGATTTTGGAACATTCTTTTAAAACTTACAAATTTTGGCGCTTGGTTCCTTTTCGATAAGCGTTATCCATATATACTTTCCTTCTCAAAATATTGGCAAGAAATGGTTAAGAAACTATTTAATACTTGTATTTTTGTATTGAAATAATAAAATAATTTTTAAATATAGTATTTATTATTTTACATAAAGGGCGCTTTATTTTAACGATTTTATGACATTTGACAACTGTCAATTAACTTAAAACTAACTTCAGCCTTTGACTAAAAACCTGTTGCTAACTTGAGTCTGTGACTAAAAGGTCATAAAGCCACAACTTGTCAATGTGTATTTAAAAGGTCACTTAGTGTCATGAAAGCATGTTCGATAATGGACGTTTTAAAGGTAATTTTTTTTATTTAATTACCTATAATATATTAGGTACTTCATTTAAGGTAAAAAAATTTATTTAATTACCTATAATATATTAGGTACTTCATTTATGTATATGTAATTATTATTATTATTATCATTATTTTGGAATGCGTTAACCAATTTTAATATATTTTTTTGGGGGACATAGTGATTAGCTTTATTTGGCCATGTAGGAAAATTGAAAATTTTCCTTTTTTTCAAGACGACTAGGCAATTATTTAGATGTCATAGAACCAAAAAAAACTAATATATAAATACAAAATATTTAAAACATTTATTTTTTGGACCACCCTACTACATAGTTTGTAATTAAACTTTTAAACCGTGGTTAGTAGTAATCTTACAAGATTTGGGGAAATATGTAAACTTCTTGATAAATTAGTAACTTTATTAATGCGATAAATTTTTAAGAAATTTATTTTGTGCTTATAAATTTGTCAGACTTTACCTTCCGAAAATGTTTGATGCGCTGTATTCAAATTAAAGTTTATACATCACGTCCTGTTTTAAAAAAATTCTAACCAAAATGTATAAAAAATGTTTTTTGTTACATTAAGACATTTGTTCCACCAAAAACTTTGGGATATCTAAAAGTAGTACTTTCCTTTTTTAAAACATTTTTCAAACTTTTTTATTATGTGTTTTTCTCTCCAAACATTTTTGGTTGAAATTTATGATCAACTGTTACTTTACTTTTTCGGAAATGTTTGTCCCGACCGTTTTAATTTATAATTTAAAATTAATATTATTGTTTATTAGGCTTATAAGTTTCGTTTAAAAACCAAACAAAAGAAAAATATTGAAAAAAAATCAAATGGCGTAACGAATTTTGTAGGAAAAAAAATAATATAACCTTAAACCTTTTGGGTTAAAATTTTTTAAAAACCTAAAATAATGAATTCGGATTCAGCATGTCAAAAACGTTCGGTAAAATTTGTATATACATATATTTATAACTATTAGAAGCTAAAAAAATTATAAATTCTGAGAAATAAAAAAAATAATAAAAAATACATCAAGAAAATGTAGTTGTTCTGCAAATGATTT